ATTATCGAACAAAAAAGGAGGTTGTTTCGTGATGCTATATCTTGAAACACCAGTGATCCGTGGCTTAGTGATCCCAATGACAATGCAATTTACAGAACTGCTATTCGAGATGCAAAATACCATTATTTTTTTTCTACGTTACCTTCCATGTTTGCTACTATCCATTAACAGTTTTGGACAGTTATTAAGAAAGGAGGAAAATATGTAATTGAACTCAAATATTCATGTGGGAATGATATTTATAGTGATGATTGCGTCTGCGTATTTAATTATGTCTTCGTTGAGTATTTGTCAAATGCTATAATAATGCCAACTTGAACATTTGATGAGTGCATTTTTTGTCAATGGAGCCAATTCATGTCGACCCTATTGGTGTTGTTAAAATAATTGATAACCTAATGGTTCCTTAATTTGCTGGCCCCGACGAGAGAAACGCGAAATTGAAAAACAAACAAACACAAAACCATATTTTTACTTGATGCTATCGTAAATCTTCGCTTGAGATTGGTGTGTTGCCTGGTGATTGAAAATTGGGGAAGGTGGTGCTATTTCATAAAGGAAGTGTTAAATATTCCCCATGTAACTACCACCAAACTCTAGCTCTGACTAGCATTGCATGTAGGGTACCAGAGCGCGTCATTTATTCTCAACTAGTTTTTTTTTTTTAAGTCTAGTTCCTTCTTTAGTACTATTCAGCATGGCTTTCAAAACTCCTTCTCTTGCGAAACTCAACTTTTATCATTTGCGCATGATTTACACTTAGCCCTCGACAGTGGGTCCCAGGTAGATTGTATAATTCTGGACTTTTCCAAAACATTCGATAAAGTTTATCACAGTTTAAATACTGATACGAATGTTTTGTCTTGGATAACTTGTTTTCTCACTGACCAATATCAATACGTAACCACTAATGATAAAATACTCTCAGCTTGTTTCTGTCAATTATGGTGTACCACAAGGTTCTGTATTGGGTCGATTATTGTTTATCATATTAATCATTGCGTTGCCATATTCCATTTCTTCTTTCATTAATTTATTCGCCGATGATACTGTTATTTACCAAAAAGTTACTAACCCTTTGCACATTCAGAATTTACAAGATATTTACTCAGTCTCTAAATGCTGCGACTTCTTGGGGATGGAACTTAACACGACTGAATGTACAGCCATGAGAGTATCACCTAAATATATATATCTCTCCCCTTTTATTTTCTTGAAAACGCCCCCCTACTTTCTATGTTTTCATATAAATACTTGGGTGCTTATATATATGCAAAATATCTCATGGGAGACACATGTTGATTATGTTCTAAATAACGCTAACCGCATGCTAAGTTATCTGACATGAAACTTTTTTTAGTTCCTTCATCATTGAAACTAAGTCTGTATAAAACACTTCTTCGCTCTAAATTACAATATGCTTCTGTTGTCTGCACTCTGGTCATTCTAAACTAATAAATTTTCTAGAAGCAGAACAAAATCGCTTTGCTCCTTTTATTCTTAACCACTATCACCAAACCGCCAACGTAAACTCTATGAAATCCGCCCTATCATTGCCTAACCTTGCTATAGACCTTTTTTGTATACTCTCGTCCCCAGCCACCTAATGGGCGTATACAGTATGGACGACGAAAAAATACTAAAACGTTGCAACCTCTAACTAGTAAAAAAAATAAGGTGGAGGCAAAACGAAAATGTGTGGCAGTTACGGTAATATCCTAAGTTTCTTCTACTGGAGTGGCGACGGCAAAAGAATGTTTTTGCTCATACTGGAAGTGACGACAATTCAAGATGGCGGCGCCCTTGAAGAAAGGGTATATACACCGAAAAATAGCTCGCTTGTGACTCGTTCATAATATAAACCAGAATAATCCAATATTTCTTGGTCAACTGCTGAATCATCGGTTTTATATTTTATCACACATGGATAATGTATATAAGGTAGGCTATCCAGAATGTAAGACTAGTACATTTCAAGAGTTGTTCATCACGAAAACTTCTGTTCACTGGAACCATCTTCCCGTAATGACAGTCTCAATTGTCATTGAACATCTATTTAAAACTGCCACCAATATATTATTATACGATTCCGACGAATGATCAAAGTGTACTAACCCCCACTCCCCTCTGTAATGCCGACGGCGTTGATAGTATTTTAAATAAATAAACAAATAGTTATTTTTTGTGACCTCACTGGTTAATACGAGGCTATATACCACTTATGTGACATTCATTTGCTTTTTCATCGACGCTTTTTTTAACAATTCTGTCGGCTGCCAAAAAAAAATACTTTAGGGCTTGGCCGATCTACTTTAGTGCACAATTTGACTCCTGAATCCGACTGATGAAAGAAGATAGATTCTTTAGCAATGGTTTCTACTTGCATGCATTTTGTGTATTATGGTAAAATAAACTACAATAAAACAGCCGTTTACAGTATACATTGTGTTTTACGATTAAATATTCACTCCAGTCAGGATGGCCAGAAATCAACAGATCGAGGGCACAACTTTCGGTGGCGCAATTCTCGGTCTTTGACTGGATGGCAATGCCAGTGTGTAAACAAAAACGGCAAATATACTCAACTTTTGAACGCAACGTTTCGCTATCAAACAATACATGTCAAAGTATCCATATACCTTTTCCTTTATAACTGCAGCCGAAGTGATTGCAATCTGGTCATACGTTGTGTATTATGAGCGGCAGTACTGTCTACACAGAGTTAACATTAGTAGACTGGCATTCAATATCACGTAAGTGTTGGGACAATTTTCGAATTTGAAATGACTACAAAAGTGCGGGATTAAATTGACTGCGGTATTACGTGATTTAGCTCAAACATATCAAGGAGGTTTAAAAAACGTCAATCTAGCAAAATTACTAAATATTGGTATAAATATATTTCTGATTACTTTTCAGTAATATAGTATAGTTGGTAAAATCGAAGCTATGGTTTCTACCATGAGCATTCTGGGCATCACCGAAAACCATGAAAGAAGCCCATTTCACAAAATGTATTGTACACGCGTAGCAATTTACGAAATTTTGGAAAAAAAAAACATTTTGGAATTATTTCTAAGCTTAGATTTACTGTCAAAACGCATCTCCCTTCAACGCTAATCCTTTTCGTGACTAAAATGCAAACCAATAGCCTAACCTTACTCCTAAAAAAAAAGTATGGCGCAAGCCAAAAAAAACAACAACGCTGTGCTGTTTGAATATTATTTTAAGAACAAGCTGTGATTCTTGGATTCACCTCCATTGTGTGTATAATGCGTGGCTGCTCAAGCGAGTTGTATGCTTTTCTTACTGGGAGCAAGGCCGCAGGCGCGCAGGTCTGTTTTAATGAAACCTTTCATTTTTTTTATTTCTGGACAAAATAAAATTAAGGTAAATTGAATACACCAAGGAAAATCTGTATGCTCAGTTTTTTGTCAAACAGAAAAAAAGCCGATCACGTCGAACAAATAAAAATCATCCGAGCGAATTGCGAAGCTCAGAAGAAAATTAACATTTAAACAGAGTATTCAGAAAAAATAGTGAGCCAGCGAAACATGAGGCTCAATGTCCTTCGGACATGACACTTTCGTGCACTTATTGAATTCATAGCTTATTCATTGGCTTGAATGTATATGGATAGTTTTGATTGGCTGTTCTTTTGTTCTGCAGGAATGTAAACTTAAAATGTGTTTTATAACGCGGATGTAATCCGCAATCGAATAGAATACCTGGCTTATTGTAATGTAGATTCCCTTGTTAACATGGCCTTGTTGTGGTGTGGTGTGGGCTGTGGCCTTGTTTATTTGAGGTTAACAAGGTTCCCTTGTTAACCTCAAATAAAGCTAATACGGTAAGAAGTACCCCAAAATGCGTCTTGGGAGCGTCAGAATGCAAAGGTCGGCAGCCAATTAAAGGACATATATAGCTTATAGGAAGTGCACGATGACGAGGCAGCCCAGCGAGGAACATCATTGATTGTGGTCGGGAAAGAAAAAAGGCACGTGGACGCATTTGGGGGGTTAACAAACGCACGAGGTGCGCGAGGATCTGACGAACTTGCATGACGTATAGCTAATAACTCGCTGCTAATGACTTGATCATATTTAGTAAGCGGACCTGTTAAGTAGCTTTTGTGTTTTATAATCTAAGAACGTAGTAGTATAAATAATATATCAGTAGGATTATGTAACGATTTGTACGTTTATGGTACATACGTATTTCTTTGAGACAAAGACGTATTTACGTGTAAATCTTTTCTTCTTCTCCTCCATCAAAGAAAAATGTTTCGTGGCGCAAACAAATGCATCCTTCATTTATCAAATGTCACCATTTTTACATATTATCCTTAATTAAGGCAAGAGTCTCGGTAGCCTTTCCGAGCTCTTTTTAGGTGTTCTACGCCTTTTCGTTGGATAGATTCCTCTACGTCGTTCTCCAGAATTTATGTTCACTGAGCAGAGTGAGGTCGTCTTCCATGCTATCGGCGTTTTCTAAAAGCCCTTCTACAGCTAAGATGTGATTTTTCGTGCCCTTTTAATCAGACTTTACAACTCAACCAGGGTTTCGGTGGGTCCTTGCATCTTATTCAAATGTTGTTCGTCTTCTCACACACTGATTTCAATTTGTAATCAAATACGTTTTCACGCATCAACTTAAAAAGTCTATGACGACCTGGTTATAAAAAGCTATAATTGAAACACCACCTCCCTGTAAAATACGCGTGTTTGTGTCATTTTTTTTAATTTTTTTCGGACATCTCGAGAATAAGTATTAATAGCTTATTCAAGTTGTCAATAACCTGCACAGTTGAGAATATTTTTATTATGCAAGACGTCATTTCCTACATTAGCCATTTGTTTCAAAGGAAGCAATTCAAAATAGTTTGACATCCGAATGCCACAGGTAAGCTACATTTTGAGTAAACAAATCGTTCAAACTTTTTTTTATGTTTTAGGTGAATTTTCTTGTGTCGTTCACACAATCTCAGCCCAATACCGAAGGCTCGTTAAGAGCCATCTGAAGCTGCATTTTTATTAGATCCGAACGAGTTGTAAAGCTAGCCGATGATTCGGCCAATAATTCTGCCAATCTTTGGCTTCTTGCGCTTCTTGCTATTACAACCGCATGGATTTTTAGTCTTCTTCCTTCTACGTCTGTATTCATCGGCATCATCGAATGATTGATTTCCAGCTTCCTTCAAATCCTCGATGATCGCCAGAATCACTGCAAGGTCGTCTTCTCTACCCTTGAAAGCATTTGTGAGGTGCTCGAGGTTTGCGTCGAGGGCGTCCTTGATTTCCTCTGGTGGTTCGACAGCCCGTGCTTTCTCCAGTTCAATTCGCTCTCCCAGGAGCTCGGAGAAGGTAGTCATAAGGTTTGGATCAAGATCTGAAACATCAGAGAAGTGTAAAATAGCCAGTTATATTATTCTGCGTACATGTATTAAGAAGAGCAACTTCATAACTCAGGTTTGCCACACTTTTTTGAGTATTTACTTGATAAATAGTTGAAATTAAAATATTCATTACTTAACACTAGTCATAGCTTCCAGATATCAACGCAAGAAGTCAATGGTTTTGTTAATGTACAGTCGGCACGGAATGAAACGCGCACAGTGGGTGCATGGTTTTCGCTAGATGCTGCACCACCTGAACCAGATGGGAGCTGCAAGAAGATGGCTCCTCCTTCGATGTGTTAGACTCTTGCTCAGTGTATCCAAACCTTCGGTGTTGCGTCTTTAGGTGTCTCAGCTTGGGTCGAAAACCATGTGCTCCATGTTCGCGTTTCATTCCGTGCCGACTGTACATGTCATTTGTATTAAAGCATGCGTGACATCGCAAGAACATGAGGAGTCATATAATTAATTCTCATAGTAAACACTTACCCTCTTCAGTGTCGATGGCAGGTGTCCTGAAACATACGACATTGAACTAGTAGTATAAGCACATGCTTCGAGATGTTACTGAAACTAAACAGATATTTAAAATACCTTCCTATAACTAAAGGGCCATAACTAGTCACTTTAATATTGTGCAAACTAATTTGTAATTAAATAGTCGAGAACATATGCAAAGGAATGTACTGTACTCATCGAGTAAAGTAAATGTTTCTGCCTCTAAAATACGAAATATTCGGCACCGCCACTAGCCAAATGCATACATGTGCATTTGTTGGGTACCTATAGCTGTAGTAGGCAAGACATAAAACATACTGTAGAATTATGCACTACTGTTAGATTTATTGCAAGCGTTTTAGCCTGTCAAAATCTTTTACTGTCTTGAACCTTCAGTTATTTTTTTAATTGAGAACTTGAACCCTAACTGTCGAGTCGCTAACTTACTTAGAGTGAATTTTTGCTGAAACGCGTTGAGGCACTTATTCGCTGTTGTGCTACGAATTCCGCACACACACATACTGCAAGTGTTTATATGATAGGCTCATTTTAATTTTATATACAATGATTTGCGTAAAAGGCCGTAAGTTAGGTGTTTTACAATAAACTGTGACCTTTGACAAAACAATTACGGATAACGAAAATGCATTAATAGTTCTGTAACCTAATGCGAAAGCGTTAATCTTCATTTATTTTATTGACTGAGTCCCCTTGATGTTTTAAATTCGCACTATGGCAGTTCTATGTACGCGCCATGAATTAAGAACACCAAACATACCTAATAAGTACATCCCTATACAACTTTATTTTATTATAATCGGAGTGCAGTTTTTAGGCTAGAAACAATAAAACAATCGCTTAGAAATTAATATAGCACTAAGAAATTCACAGAAATCTAGCTTATTCCCAAAGGTGATCTTATTTAGCTCATTGGCGGTCAAACTTGAAACTTACAGCATGCAACAGTTTTAAAGGTTCTATAATTCAAGTATTGTTTGATACTAATTTATCGCCTGAGAGCGGTGCAAGTGTTCAAACCGCTTTCAGCATGTTACATTTTTTAAGGAAGTTTGAAAACTCATACTCACACTGAAGCTCCCCCTATGAAAGGAAAAAAAGTAGATACATATTTAGTGTCGAAGCAAGAATGAAATGCATCTAGTTAAGAACGCTTAATTTAAAATCACGTACATGCCGCGCTTGCTCCGAACAAGAGGAGAAGCCCAATAAATGGTCCCATACTGGTCGCCAACCTGCGGAAAAAATAGCTTATTTGAAATTTACTGTTAGGTACGTTGCTGGGCTAGTTGGCTCATCCTAGTTAAACATATATCAATATCGCATTTCAAATTCATAGAAATTAGTTTCCATTTTTGCATAATCGAATACCGACTCCATAACTTTATGTGTTGCCGCTTCACGTATGCATATATGCTTCCCTTTTTTGCCGAGTAAAAATAGTTGAAAGATAGCGCTTGTCCTGTTTACTTCGTGGCCCGGTGTTTTCGCGCTATTTTATGTGTTTAATTAAATAATATGCAGTGTTGTACACGTTCCTTCAAAATAGGAGCGAAAGAAACGTAATGGAAGCACGTTATCATTCTATTTCTACCATTGGAACATGTTATTACATTCACATTACATTCGCGGAGATCAATTAAAATATGCGGGATAATTCGCTGGTAAAATAAAGCGAGCATGTGAAAATATCCCCGTCGAACTACGTACGAGTTGAGTCGTCATGGACGATCCGTTTTGCTCCAGTTCTTTATCTTTGTCTATCTTTCCAACTCTACCATATCCCGTAAAGTCGGAGGTCGATATAGTCGGCAATAAATAGTCAAATTCCTACAAAATTCGGATAAAATTACAGATATAAAGAAATGGACGCCGTTCCTCCTGCTGTTCCTTGGAAAACATAAATAGTTCACGTCCCACTGATGTTTGATCGAACAGCGGCGTTCCTCCGTTTCTTCTCACGGAAATGTAACATACTGTAACATAGTAGAATTTTCCAAGCGAAAAGTGAGGGGCCTAGGCCTTTGGGTATTAAGGAGCTCGAAAGGGTTGTTCATATAATATGTGCAAGGGCAACAGGTGTTTATGTTACCGTAAATGTGTTTAATATCTGGCCCACCAACACTGCTTTGAGTGCGATCCTTCAACGAGTGTTCCAACGAAACGGTTGATTGAATTTAACTCGGGTATAGTTCTGAACTCATCCTCAGTGTTAAGACCCTTGTAAATTACATTTCTAAGATGGGTTAGCGTACGTGCTTGGAAGCCATCATCTTCCCAACAACGATTTCCAAATAATTTTCATGGTAACGGATAATTTTGAAACTTTATTTGATGTAAAATGTTGTTAAAATACACAGTTTTACGGTCAGGCAACATCATTGTTTGGTTCCGCGCAGAATGAAACACAGAAGCTCGCTGTTCAAAATATTGAGGAACAAATATAAAGAACCTTTTTTTCTCTTGAGGGAACACGCGGTAGATACAATTTGTAGAGCCGTTTATGTTTGTTCGCAAATTGCGGCAATTACGTTATAATTCGTTGGTTGTGACGATCACATTCACAACTGTATCTCTAAATCTTAGAATTACGTAGCATAACAGTGAACTATTATCTTTTGTCACCCCTAATCTGAATTTCGCCCTAAGTTTAAGAATATTACTATTATAAAATGCACATTAAATGTGTTTAGTTGTGAACGTTTACCTAGTCACTTCAAAATGAATAAACATAACGTCTGTACAATTATAAAGCGCAACTGAGTTTGAATAATAATCTTGAACATTTCTTGTTTTCTAATCACCTTTATCTATGTCTTTCATACTAAAAGCGGTCTAGTTAATTGAGAACGTATTTTTGTATGTTCGAATTTAACAGAGCCGTTCTCAAAAATTACTCTCACCGTTCGATTCAGAACAAGCGATTTTATCAGGCGTGTGTGTATTTCTGAGCATATTAAAATGTATGAAATACGTGTACATATCTCTTTGTATAAGTACAATTTTATACAACACCGTTTTGATTTCCAAAATGCGATGAAGAGCAGTTATGCCGACGTATGAAAAATAAAAACAATCTGCCTAGGCTTTTCTTTGTTCTCATCTTTGATGTGTTACTCTATCTTCAAACGAAAGTCACTTTCCTTCCCAACTGACACTTGACGTTACTGTTTGAATTAATTATAAATTATAAACACGTAATACATCTGGCTACAAGTCCGTGCTTATTCTCTTAAAAAAATAAGTAGTCAAAATTCGCATACCTTTGAAGTTCTCGGTAGAAACGTGATCAAGCGGTCAGAGTACGGTGTGGTATTTATGTTATGCAGACGCATTAAGATAAGCCATCTTCACGTGATGCTGCTTCGCATATAATAAATATAAACACATTGAATGCAGCATAACAAAGGCATATTGCAGGTATGTTATCGGATTTACCCTTTGCTTCTGCAACGTGACCGGATAGGAAATATATGTAAAAGCCAACCAAGTGGCAGTCAACACATGCAATAAATAAGAGTGCTATCCGACCTTTCAAACGGTCGATCAAGATAGGCCTCAGAAATGTGACAAAGCAATCGGTTGAGTGTGCAGGCTTCCAAATGGTATCAAGGCTATCAAGGCTACATTGAACAAATATTGCTCTCACCGCGAAGTCGAGAAAAACATGATTCGTGCGCTCGACAAAAAAAGAAAAATTAAGTTACGGCGCATTTTCCGTGCTGGAAATTGCCAGACCAGTAGAAACACTTCTTACAGTCTGACCACCTATATAAAACGTTGAGGAACTTGCACGGTTGAAAAAAACCTTGCTGTCTATTGTCACAGCCGCTTTTCGGTCGCTTAACATGCTTATATGAATGTTGGTTATAGAACCTTGCGAGTGCTTACTCAGTTTTCATGCTGTTTTACAATGCCGTTCTCCAATGTAGCTATAGAGAATAGTGTCGTTGTTCACTACAAAAAAGTGCAACTATAGAATCAATTAAAATCAATACAAAATTTAGGTATCTTAGTGTATGTGTCGTTTGTAGACGCAGTCTTGGGTTTTTTGCCGTGCTTAACATTCCCCAGGTCATTTCCGCCCTTGAATTCAGTCCATTAATTCTGCCTTCATAACTTAACGTCTCTACTAGAGGTATTGTTGTTACCTGACCATAAGTTAGAGGTATTTCATAACATAAACCTGCTAATCGGCACTCAGATGTCACAGGGACAGTAGCACAAACCGGGTAAAATATCTACGGCCACTTATTCGGGAAAGTGTAAAGTCGTACACATAGCGGACGAAATTGTAAGCATTCAGAATATCTAACAAGACGTTTTGCTGAAGCTCTTAATATAGAGGAGCAACGCGAGTATGCCAACGTCTGTGTTTTGAGCGTTGGAATATGATCATCAGTTCTAAAAATAAAGTTGATTTAGGTGACAACTTTTATCACCTGCAACATCAAATATATGCGTGCAGTCACTGACGCTGTAGCCAAGCAAGTGCTCTGAAGCAAGCTCAAAAATATGCGTGCAGTCGTTGATAGGGTAGCCAAGCAAGTCCTCTGATTGGCTGCGATTGAAAAAGCGTAAATTCAGTCATGGAGAAAGGCAAGGAAGCCGCAGGAGCGTACTACATCTTTCTACGCATGCGCGTCACGCCGGCTCTGAGAGGAAATAATACCTATCGAGAGTCGTAGGTTGCAAGGTCAATGTCCGGCTATCAGAAGCACCGATAAGTACAGCCCAGTCAAAAAATGCGAGGTCAAATGTCCAGATTCCGATAGCCGCTAATCTAGCAATCACCAGGGACTAAAGATAAGTATTTCGCTTGTAGTTCAATGCACTACACTGCTGCGGCTTCACTGGCTTTGTCCACGAGTACACGCGAACGTATGAGCTCGAAGAAGCACAGAGGAGGCAGACAGCAGAGGCATTGGCACACCGCATTACAAGCTTAATGATCTAGCTTCTACAAAGCACGTGCGATTGCAACCTTGTTGAAGTGATCTGGAAAGAAATGGCTGCATGTTGTATAGTTAAAAAGTTCCTGTATTAACACATTTATATTAAAACACTTAGGAACAAGGGCAGACAGCAGAGTTCTTTCAATTAGAAACATTTACTGATGTCTTAATATTATTCATTAGATTGAATTATTAAATTAAATTATTAAATTAAATTATTAAATTGAAGATACATAAAAAACCACCCGAAAAAAGACTAAAATCTCCAAATGTTGGGAGGGAGATTTACCGTATTTTCGCGATTGACGAGGTGAAACAAAAAATAACTGGGGAAACCGTACGTTTAATAGGGCGAACTTGTGCCCAAAAATAAAAAGGGAACACAAGAAAGCAGAGCATCGCGGGCGTCGAAGTCGACGTCAGCGTGACAGCAGAGTCGAACGCTGGGGCGAAACTGAAACCGGCTGGCCACGCGGAGCCCCTTTTGTCACGCGTGGGCTTCTGGAACAATCGGCGTAGAAGGTTTGGCGTGTAGGACATTCTAACCTCAAATCAGCAACACGGTTCTCGAATTTACCAGAACATTAAATTAGAGTCAACAGAAATGCGCACCCGCAGCCAGGAATCGAGCCCTGGCTTTATGCGTGGAAGGCACGTGCGATAAGCCGTTAGGCCATGAGCGCGCTGCCGACTTAGTCGGCTGCGCTAGCGGCAGTATCGAAGGAGACATCAGTAAATGTTCATTGGTAGTTGAAATGACTTTGATGTCTGTCATTGTCCCTAAGTATTTTCTTCTTTCTTTGATTCTCGTGTTTTCACCAACCCGCTCTTTGTTCTTTGTTTGTTTAACACCTTTAAATTAGTGTAAAATAGTCCGAGAATATTAGCTAAAACAATACTCAACACTTCATGCTGCATAGTTCTTTTTTTTAGCAATATCGAGGGATAAATGGCAACAGACACCCTTATTGGGTGGTTGAAACGAACTACGGCTACTTTGAAACTGACGAGGTTTCATGATCGAAGTATGCAAAAATCTTCCAGAGGACAGTTTCCTACTGCTCTCGGTCGTATAGCAGGTATTCACGAAGCTCCATATCGTTGATCGCTGTTCGCAACGCATTCTCAGAACAAGCTCCCATATATCTCCCGAAAAAAAAAACCTGGCAGTTTTACAAAGGCGATGCATGGCAAAATATGCTCACGCGTCTTGTGTCATAATTTGTAATAGAGAGTTTTGAACGACTAATGCTGTAATATCATTGGCTGCGTGGTGATCCATAAGATGTTAGGGACTCACAACGCCCTGTGTTTCTTAAAAGCTGTCGAAGACTACAGCTTTACAATATTCTTGGCTGTACTTTTCGTGTTACAAAGTCCTCATTGCGCAGATTTTCAAACCACTGGGAATATTTCCAGCCACATCATGCAGCAAATATCATCGACAAAAAACCCCACAACCAATTTCTTCTGCTGTGATGGACATCTGTCATGCGTATTAAGCACAAAATACATCCCCCCTGAATATATACCTTATCTAGAGCTGTTTATCTTTCGGCGTATATATCTACGGGGATTTTTCATTACTCCTAGACTTCGGCAGAAGCTTGCGCGGTGAGACTTTCCGAGATTTACACTCTTGGGTGCAAGTTCGATCGTCCACTCCTTGTGCACCTTGTGCGCCCACGTGCTTTTATTTAGCGAGTTCTGCTAACGACAATAAGCTGCGAGTACCGGAGGAGGAGACAAGTGGTCGGTATCGGGTGTTCGTGCACATTCGTCGGCACAACAACGTCGACTACAGCTTTGGAGGCGGCTTACGCTGCAGGGGGCGGTCCCGTGATTGATGACGTAGCTGATGAGGTCACGGGATTCCCCCTGGAAGCTCGCAGTTTCAAACCATAGTCTCCTCTATACTAAAAAAGCCTGGCAGATCGCCATGAGAAGCGGCCCGCCGAAGTTGAAGAGGTAGAGCGGCAGAAAACGGATGAGGGGAGAGCCACATGACCGGCGCCCAGCTGAGACGAGACGCCGAAATGCACTTCCCGCGAGCGATGGAATGTCCGTTCGTGCTCTCCGCGTTCATCGCGCGACTACTTCTTTTGTCGTTGGGTTTGAAAACCATGTTTAGGGTCCTCGCCGCTGCAAAATCTGCGCGCTAACGTCCAGCTTCCCCGAAAAATGCTCTGTGCTACCAGATCCTCGCGCTCCGAATTAAGACCGGGCACCCTATGGCTCCGTCGTCGAACTGCCAGGCTTTTTGAGTATAGCGGAGGCCATGTTCCAACTAGATGCCACTGAAAAAGTTCGGTCCCCAGAAAGCAACCTACATTCCAGTAAAAGCGCCTGGGAGTGAGGCAATGCGTTCGAAACTATAAACGCCCGTGAGCTTGCGCTTAGAAACGTTTTGTTAACGAATGTTGACCACAGGTAACAGCACATATAATATTTTGTTTTATTCATTCGTTTTGACTTTAACGCGATTATTTAATCTAACAGTATGGCAACAGTCTTGAAAATCGAAACAACAGCGCAGGTTGACTCTGACAGCGCTTTGAATGACACGCGCACACGCACATGGCCCAATGAAAGCGCGGCTCTTTTACTTGAATTTTTCGCGTTGCTCAAACCTATAGTACAACAAAGTATAGGGGGCTTGAAAGCATGCATAAGACAAATCTAGTCCTCCTAATGCACGTTCTTAGACTATTTAATCTTGAGGTTATTCAAACGAAGTCAGTTTCACGTTTTGTGAAAAGTTTTGTTTATTTGATCCTAAAAAAAACTGAGCAGGCGATATCTGCACAATCATGCAGATATAAACTTGAACACATACGGCAAATATATATCTGCCAATTTCTTTTTCTTCAATGTGTCTGTAGTGTGTTGGCACTTAATTATTCTCACGAGGTGGTTTTGGGTTACGAATATTCTTCGGCTTCTTGGTGGCAACGGCGTATTGCACGGCATCATCTTCCGCAATGTCTGCATGACTCGGTGCAACTGTGCCCATCGCCGCCGCTGCAAACGCTTGGCTGGAGCTTGAGCATGAAACTGAAATAATATGCACACATTAAGGTTTATTAAGTGTAATGTACATATTATAGACTTTACAATATAACAGTTTATTCCGACTAGCTAATATTACGCAGAGCTGCTAAGGGATATTATGACAGTTAATATATTTAGGCCAAATAAAATTTTTCAGTAAGTGAAAAAATAATTGATTTATATGCAGTCCAGTCTCCTTAATGTGGACGCCTCCGTCCCCTCGGAAAATCGTCCAGATTGTGTGTAGTTTCTAAAGAACAGTCCGGTTCAAAACACAC